ACGTTTGAATTGGTGGAGCTACCGGAGGGGCGTACGGCGATAACGTCCAAGTGGCTCTTCAAAATCAAGTCGGATGCCGACGGCAAGATCGAGCGCTACAAGTCTAGGCTTGTAGCCAAGGGGTACCAGCAGAAGGAGAAGGTGGACTTCAAGGAGCTGTTTGCCCCTGTGGTGAAGCCGACGACGCTGCGAACCCTATTCGCGGGAGCCGCCATCAAAGGATGGGTAGTAAAGCAAATGGACATCGTAACGGCATTCCTTAACGGCATCCTTGAGGAGGAGATTTTTATGGCGCAGCCAGAGGGGTTTGATGATGGTAGTGGCAGAGTGTGGAAGCTGAAGAAGGCCCTCTATGGGCTGAAGCAGGCCCCTAGGCAATGGTACATGAAGCTGCGCGAAGTGTTGGAGGGGATCGGCTTCACTCCCTCAACGGCCGATCACTCCTTGTTCATGCTTGGCGAGGGGGAGCAGAGGAGTTTCATGGTGGTTTATGTGGATGACATCCTCATTTTCTCACCCTCTTCTGACCTTGTGAAGGAGGTGATGCTGAAGCTTCAAGATAAGTTCAAGTGCAAGGCCCTTGGTGACGTGAGCTTCTACCTTGGGCTCCACATCGAACGAGATGTGGAGAAGCGGTGCATGCGGGTGCATCAACGAAAGTACCTGGAGGCATTGGCTGCCAACTTTGGGCAGAGTGAAGGCCATGTGGCTACACCCTTTCCCTCTGGGTTCAAGTGTGTGAAGGGACCAGAGGAGGAGAGCGTTGGTGAAGAGGAGAGGCGCCGATTTCACTCGTTGGTGGGCAGCCTCATGTATGCGGCGGTAAACACCCGACCGGACGTCGCGTTTGCTACCGGGCAGCTGGCTAGGGTTGTGCAATGCCCTAATGAGGAGCAGGTAGCAGCTGGAATGAGGGTGGCCAAGTATCTTGGCCAAACACCGACCGTTGGGCTGCAATACTCGGCGGCGGCACAAAGGCGCCAAAAGGGCGCGGATGGTGTTGAACCCGGGCGTTTGTTCCTCACCGCCTACTCGGATGCTTCATATGCATCAGAACCAGAGGACATGACAAGTGTGGGAGGCTTCATATGCTGTGTTGGTGGAGGCCCAACTGCTTGGGAGAGCAAGAAGCAGGTTGACCAAGCTTTGAGCTCGGTGGAGTCCGAGTACATGGCACTCTTCCGTGCCGTACGGGAGATTGTGTGGCAGCGGCGTTTGTTGGCTGAATTGGGGGAGGAGCAGCAAGGACCTACCCCACTGTACTGTGACAGCCAGGGTGCCATTGCTCTTGCTAAGAACCCTGTGTTGCATGGACTCACGAAGCACATGAGAGTGAAGTGGCATTGGACGAGGAGCATGGTAACCGCGGGTGAAGTTGAGTTGCGCTACGTGAAGACCACGGGGCAGCCGGCTGACATGATGACCAAGAGGCTGGTGGAGCAGCAGCATTGGAAGTGTTGCAAGCTGGCTGGGATGGCTCTGAACTGAGAGAGCAACATATCCTAAGGCCAACAATCCGAGGGGGAGTTTGTTGGTGCAACCCTACGGTTTGCACTCGGCTTGTTGTCCGTGTGCGTGAATGTGTGTGTGTATGGAATGGTATGAGGGCATGGGATAATATATATTTCATGCTTATAATTGTGTGTGAATGTTGAGTCATGATGTCGAGTGTGTGTGTCGAGTCAATAGCGAGTTATCGCTAGACGCGTGTTACGCGGTCGTTTGTGTCTCGCGCGCGGTTTCTATTTTGTCGTGCGCGGTTTCTATTTTGTCCTGTGTCGAACGTTCGGCGTGTCGCAGGTGTGTGCAGCAGACCCATCAAGAACTCAAGGATGAGTTTGTGATGAAGAGCCCGAGCCTTGGTGTCAAGCCTCAAGTGATTTCGAAGCTCGCCAAAAAGGGTACACCTCAAGATATTGAAGATATTTACATTACTTTGTGTAGTGTAACATTTCACTTGGTGTAGGCCCTAGTGAAGGGTAGTTTCGAGACCCTTCGTGGTTGGGGACAGTGTGGCACTGTTCCACATCACTGTACCTCGGCTCTTGGGGTTTGTAGGAGCTGGGAGTCATTCCCAACTCGTAACTCTTCCTATCTTGTGTTCTAAGACTATAGTGGCTGCCATAGTACCGTTCGTTCAAACCGACGCTGTGTCGTCAATTCTTTATCAAATCGTGCAATCTAAATTGCTAATTGTAGACGACGTGACGACGTTCCAGATCCAATTTGAATCAAGTCATTTGCAGCTGTGACCAGAACGCTATCAACGTTTGAAGCCGCTGTGCAGAAATCCGTCTGTGCTCTCTATCTTTCGTTTTAGGCACATTCAAGCCTATTGTGACTATAACATCCTTCCCTCCCATGGTTGGGTGGTGAGTGCATCGCTGCTCTCAGCAGCGTGTGGAGTGCTCACCAACAGGGGAACCTATCAGCCCACACAATCTTACTTGCCTTTTCTCGTCACATCCTCGTTTCCCTCTGTCCCCCTCCCTTCCCAGACTCGGCGGTGAGTGCATCGTTGCTCATCTTAGTGTGTGGAGTGCTAAGATCCGACTGGCTTGCCAACTGGGGCCGCTCAATCGCCTGGGGCCTCTAGACCCGTTGGCCATCTGTCTCGCCATTCAGGCCGCTCTCCTCGCTGGTCTGCCTCTTGCTGCCAACCCTGCCTGGTGGGTGCATTGCACGCCTGCAGGGTGCTGCTGTGCATGCCCTTGGCTTGTGAGTCGACCCAGAAATGACCTTCCCGAATGCACGCCGCACTCCTCACTTCCATGCCTACATGCTCGACCCGTTTGAAAGTCCCATACTAGCGTCATGTTTACCCCCAAGCTTTTGTTCCCATGATTCCCTCACGCTATCCCCATGATTCCCCCTGCAGGCCCCATGTTTCCCGCTGCAGGCCCCACGTTTTCCTCCTGCCCTCACATTCATATTTCCCCCCATGATAGCCCCATATTCCCCCCGTTCTAGCCCAATATTTACCCAATGTTAGCCCCATGTTACCCTCCTTCTATCCCCATGTTTCTCCCCTGCCAGCCCTAAATTACCCTGTGAAAGCCCCAAATTTCCCCCAGGGCTGCCCCATTTTCCCCCCCATGCTAGCCTCATGTTTCCACCCTGCTGCGGGCCCCATGTTTGCCCCAAGCTAGCCCCATGTTATCCCCCTGCAGGCCCCACGTTTCCCCCATGCCAGACTCATTCCTTCCCCTTGATAGCCCCATATTTTCCCCGTGAATCGTCGGATGTTTCCTCGCTGCCAGCCCCATGTGTCCCCCCATGCTAGGCATATGCTTATACCAGGTGCTTGCCCCATGTTTAGAAGGCTGGGTGGTCAGTGCATCACTGCTCCTAGCAGCGTGTGGAGCGCTCAACAACAAAGGAACCTCACAGCCCTCACACTATTACTCGCCTTCCCTTGTCACATCCTCTTCTCCCTCCCTTCCCTCAGCCTTTCCAGTTTGGGTGGTTAGTGCATGAAAGCACTAAAAAGTGTGTGGAGTGCTCAGCAACAAAGGAACCTCACTGCCCTCACAATCTTGCTCGCCTTCCCCTGTCACATCCTCGCTTCCCTCCCTCCCATCAGCCTTCCCAGGCTGGGTTGTGAGTGCATGAAAGCCCCCATCCGCATGAGGTGCACTCAGCAACAAAAGAACCTCACAGCCCTCACAGGAGGGTTGTTATGTCCCATAGTAGCATTCGTTTTCCCCCCTGCTAGCCCCATGTTACCCCCATGCTAGTCCCATGTTTCCCCCCTGCTAGCCCCATGTTTAGCCCCTGCTATCCCCACGTTTTGCCCCTGTTTACCCCGTGTTTAGGTGCAGGCTAGCTTGCACACATACCCCTAAGGCACAACTCATACTTCATGTGCGTATTCCATTGTTTTTTGCATGGCGACAATTCATCGATGCAGGAGCGCACACGGTCATGACAGTTACTCCGAGCCCAGAGTCGGACGCTGGCCTGCTCAACCAACCCTCACAGGGCTTCGCGATGTCGTATGCTTGCTGAACCCGATCCACCTTATTCGGTTTTTCATGGTTATGACTCTTCATTGCACTGCGAGTGGAGGTTGCGGTGGATCCATGAAACTACGCTCTTGGAAGCTGGTGTGGGCTGTTCTCGGACTGGTGTGGACCTGCGATAGGTGTGGAAAGTCCGTTTCGGTCTGGTCTGTCGATCGCAAACCACCACCGAGCGCTGCAGACAAGCCTGGCCGGAAAAGTTTGCCGATGCTGCAACGGTTCCTCGCGTCTTTTGCACTTGCTGGTTTAGGTTACCAGGCTCTATCGGAGGTAGGCAGGAACTTGGGTGTGCCAATCGCATGTAAGAGAACGTTTTATAAGTACATGAGTGGGGCGGGTGGTCTGTGGGAAAAGATCATTGCGCATGCTACGAGGTGTATGGAAATGGCGCGTGAGTGCATGCTGGCTCGTAAGGAGAGCGGTTATTGGATTTGCGTGGATGGTAGGTGGGGTCAGGTACGAGAGGCTGAGTGGTGCAGTGTCACATTTATGGATCCTTTCACACGTAGGATTATACACTGTGTGACACTACCCAAAACCGAAGAAGGTGTGACGTCGACGCAACTAGAGAAAAAGGCTTTTGATAGGGGGATGGAAGACTTCAAAAAGTGGGGGTTTCCTGTGAAAGGTATCATCACTGACGAGGGGACGAGTTTCAAGGTTGGTATTCTTGGTACAGACATTGAGCATCAGATGGATGTATGGCACAAAGGTCGTTCGTTGTCACGAAAGTTCGTCAAGTTTTTCGTGGATGCCCGAGAGGACACGATCAGTGCCATTGAGGCAAAGACCATTGAAGATTGGTGGAATGTCAAGCCGGATGATATGCGTTCCTGGTTGAAAGTTCATGGAGGTTCAGGTTTCAAAGGTATAAACAAAAAAACGCCCAGAATAAAACTCATAAAGGAAATCTGTCGTATGCGTGGTATCCAGTTCGTGGATTTGTCTAAGGATGATTCGCCGTGGAAGTACCCTGAGATGCGACGAGTTGCATGTATACGTCGCAGACACGGCAAAGGCATGGCGACCACATCATCAGCCTCCCGCGCAACTTGTCATGACGGGTCGTGCACAGAGGGCGGGGAGAGGGTGGAGAGAGTTGACGTTCCGATCACTCAGTCAACCGAAGAGAGTCGAGACAAGTATGATGCGACGACAGAGAGCTTTCTCACGCGCGAGAGCTGTTCCGACTTTGTTGCTATTGACATTTTGGAGGAGGGAGCCACAGTGACTGCAGTCGATCCCGGCCGGATAGATCTGCATTATTCGGATGTTAGAGAGCCGTGGGGATATGATCCACATCCCGAGCTTGGAGTGCGGCCTTGCTCGGTGGCATCTTTCTTCATCATGCAGGCCTCTGTGGCGCGGCACGCCGACACGACTCGTGGCATGGTGGCCGCCGAACCGAGGCACAGATCCAGTGCTGGTGAGACAGGTGAGATGTTTCACGTTGCAATGGTGTCCGCAATGCTATTCCATCCAAGTTGTGATCCATATGATCCATTAGCACATTTGCACGTGAGACTCCAGAGAATGATGTCGAAGACAAAACTCCCTTGTATTGTTATGCCCTCCCACCAGGCACAAATGGGGCAAGTGCAGCTGTTGGATCAGACGGGGATAGAGGGACCGCGGAGCACGCTCGACGCTGGGTGGATAGGCGCTCCCGTGGCGGGAAGAGGAGTGGGTCGGGCGCTGCAGTGCAAGAGGAGGTTATGGAAGATCCGGATGAGCTGATCGAGGAGGTGACAGTGGCTCAAAGGTTTAGTGTACACTTCCATCATGTGATGGCACGATGCGCGTTACCCTGGAAACAGGGAGTGCCAATGACTGCTAAGGATGTAGCCAGGGAGATTGGGAGTGCAGCTGCTCATTGGGCTGGGGATCATTCCCGCTGTGGTGGCGGCACAGAGACCCCTAGATGCGTGACTGATCACTGGGGACCAGAGAGTGTACTGTACCAACATGGTTCTCGTACACATATCGCGTTCAAGGAGTGGTTAGAGGAAAACTGTGGGGAGGTCGAGATGAGACCATATGTTCATGGGTCTTGCAATTGGATGAATGAATAATTTCATTCACTGATCTGCAAGTATGCTCCGAAATGCACACTGTTTCGAGGAAGCATGAGGGCACGGGTTGGTCTTACAGTGTTGCATTGGAACCATTCATTGGATAGGGAGGTTCGTGCAACCAAGATCAGGATGAGTCGAGTTACCAGGGTGCGGCGTGGTAAGAGCTCGCGGATCTTAGGGCCTATGAACTGGAGTTGGGTCGACGACATAATACGAGAGTGGAATTGCATGACGCCTGCTGCTTCAACGGTCCCCGGGTCTGACACCGCTACCCCCACTGCACCGGCAACACCCGAGCCCCCTCCGAAGCGGAGGCGTACCAATGAGGGACAACCCTCCACAGCACCGCGATCCTTGCTTGGTAAGTTTATGGGGGTGCATTTCGTCAATGCTGGTCGACCCGCAACACTCTAATATTACACATGCACATGTATATTCACTGATTGCAGGACCCTTGACAAATGTACGATGACATCAAGACGAACGAATCATTTGAGGGCTGCCATCCGTGTGTGAGTTTGTTATCTCAAAGTGTGTTTATGCTTACAACCTTCATTCTAATCCATTTTATGTTATTATATTCACCTCCATCCATCCATCCATGCATGCATGCATGCATGCATATATCCGCTGCAGACAAGCCTGGCCACGTGCATGCCAGCATCGTGCAGGCGGGCATTCACAGAGAGGGAGGTGGCAGGGGCATTTCTGGACTGTGCGGGCATGTCCGTTGTGGCGCCCTCCACCATCACCCGGTATGCCGCCACCCCCTATCCTTTGTAAGTCACCCATTTCGCGCCTTATGGCCGTGAGAAACAACCTGGGAGGACCTGTTGGAAGCTATATGTTCTGTTCTGTTGTGTGGCAGCAGTGTTTTTGTTTTTTTTGTGTTACCCAACAGTCAGCTGGCGTGCAGGACACTAGTGAAGACCCCCTGCCGTGCGTGGTCAGTGAGTTAGGCGGGTGGTCAGTGAGGGGAGCTGTGGTGAGTGAGTAGGGTGTGTGTTCAGTCAGTGGAGCGGGTCATTGGTAGTAGCCTCGTGACACATGGAGCAAGAGAAGCTTGCTTCCACACTTGGCTGTCCCATACACAGCCCCACCCTGCTTCTCCATCCTCACACCTGTTCTTCCCCCCACCTCTCTCTACTCTCCCCGCTCGCCCCCCTCTCCTCCGCCCCCCACCAGGGATGGACGGCGAGCCACATGGCGTGTTCGCATACAGCAAGGTGTTTGATCAGCTGGGCACCATCTACTACGAGGATAGCGCTCTACCAGGAGACGCCTCCTCGCCTTCCTCCTCCTCTTCATCCTCTTCCACCTCCTCTGCTAGTGTTCTCACTGTGCTGGCTGCGAGGGCAGGATCTGAGTACGCTGGTGAGAGACCGTATGCCATGCCATGCCATGCCATGCTGTATGCCATGGTGTTTGCTAGCCATTCTTGTCTTCCTCCTATCTCCTTCTGTCCATCATAGTCATTGCTTTCCCTTGTGGTGCACGGTGAACACATGTGGAAGCATGGTCGTTCCCTAAACCCTGGCCTCGTTCGGTCGATGCATTGGGTCCACGTGATCTGACCTTGCAGCAAAATTATTGCATCATTCTTCCTTGTGCGCACCAGTCGGTGCTCCCTCCTTCCCCTCCTTTCCCCCCTTGCTTCCCATCCTTTCCCCCCCGTTGCTTCCCCTCCTTTCCCCCCCTTGCTTCCCCTCCTTTCCCCCCCTTGCTTCCCCTCGTTTCCCCCACTGCTTCCCCTCCTTTCCCCCACTGCTTCCCCTCCTTTCCCCCATTGCTTCCCCTCCTTTCCCCCACTTTTTCCCCTCCTGTCACGCGCTGCATCCCATCCTTTCCCCAACCCCATCCGCGATCCTTTCCCCCCCGTGCTTCCCCTGATTTCCCCCACTACTTCCCCTCCTTTCCTTCCCTCCTTCCCCCTGTCTCCCACACTGCTTCCCCTTATCTTCCCCACTCCTTCCCCTCCTTTCCCCCACTGCGTCCCATCCTTTCCTCCACTGCAGCCCTCCTTTTACCCCCGTGTTTCCCCTACTTTTCCCCCCTGTTTCCACTTTCCACTTCAGTACCGTAGTAACACCAGCGTTAACCCATGTTACCCTCTCTGCCTCATCCCATCTGTGCCTCATCCCTTCTCACCCCATCCATCCTCTGCGCATCCCTTCTCACCCCGCCCTCCTTACCACCATCCACTCAGGTTCAGCAGCGTTGTGGACGGACGGCAACTGGCATATTTGCTCTGCAGCAACAAATGTGGTACTTCAGCCCCAAAAGCATAGGCGTCCAGGAAAGGCGACCTGCTGCGTGTACCCTTTCCTCGCTCGCCTATCCTCCCCACCGCCTCTGAGCACCATCACATTTCCCGCATTGACTGCAAATCCAACTTGGCTGCGCACTTCCCCGATCGGGAGTCACGAAGTTAGTGCCGCATGCATGGATTACTCTGTGCGTTTACTTGTAACCAAACTGCTTTGCTTACATACTGTGTTTTGGAACAGTACATGCTATACACTCATGATGTTTGCAACTTGTCATGATGTCACAGAACACCGCGGTCAATAACCAGTTGGTGCAAAACACTGAAACAAGTATTTGATGGCACGATTGGTTGAGTCAGTCAGAAACACCTATAAGGGGATGTGAGGGGGTGTTTATGGTGTGTGCTAATGTTCAAGGTGGCAGATTGGATGATTGGATCAACCACGGACAGGCCAAGAGGCTAGCTGCTTCGCACGTGGCTGTGGCAACGATCCCCTGCCATACACTTTGCCATCGCTGCCTATCCATGCCCAAATTGCTGCCACGTAGGTTGCTTGTGAGGCGCAAATAGAAGGATGTACTGTCCGGAAGGCACCCCACCTGCAACACAAGCACAGAAACCGATCAAGGGGATTTTGATGTGAGAGCTGTTGGAGACGAGAATGAAACTAGTGTGGGATGCAGTGGAGAGGTGGTTTTGATGTGTGGGGATTGGCGCAGGTGGTAGGATGTGCGGAGTTGGAGTCACCCCGCCTGCAAGAGAAGCACGGTATGCGAGAGTATCGCCATGATGACACGGGTGGGCTGTATCGGGAGTTGCGCAGGAATGTAGAAGTCAAACTCAACTCCGAAACCCTAAAACAAAAAGAGAGTGGGAAGCCAAACATGGGAGAATATGAGGGTAAGAGACCTGGAGGGGCAGGGTATGAGCAAAGTGCCCTTGGTAGGGGGCGGGAAAAGAAGAGGTATTTGAGGGAAGGTGAGATGGGAGTAGGGGGTATGGGAGGGGAGGTGAGATGGGAGTAGGGGGTAGGGGAGGGGAGGTGAGATGGGAGTAGGGGGTAGGGGAGGGGAGGTGAGATGGGAGTAGGGGGTAGGGGAGGGGAGGTGACGACAAGGGTATCGAGGGATGGCAGTGAGGATTGCAAGAGTGAGAACGGCAGGAGGAGTGTGTAAGGAAGGAAGGATGGGGAGAAGAGAGGGAAGCGTGGGAAGGGAGGGAAGAGAGGGAAGCGTGGGAAGGGAGGGAAGAGAGGGAAGCGTGGGAAGAGAGGGAAGAGAGGGAAGCGTGGGAAGGGAGGGAAGAGAGGGAAACGAGGGAAGGGAGGGAAACGAGGGAAACGAGGGAAGGGAGGGAAGCGAGGGAAACGAGGGAAGGGAGGGAAGCGAAGGAAACGAGGGAAGGGAGGGAAGAGAGGGAAACGATGCAAGGGAGGGAAGAGGGGGAAACGAGGGAAGGGAGGGAAGAGAGGGAAACGAGGGAAGGGAGGGAAGAGAGGGAACCGAGGGAAGGGAGGGAAGAGAGGGAAACGAGGGAAGGGAGGGAAACGAAGGAAACGAGGGAAGGGAGGGAAGCGAGGGGAACGAGGGAAGGGAGAGAAGAGAGGGAAACGATGCAAGGGAGGGAAGAGAGGGAAACGAGGGAAGGGAGGGAAAGAGGGAAACGAGGGAAGGGAGAGAAGAGAGGGAAACGAGGGAAGGGAGGATAGAGAGGGAAACGAGGGAAGGGAGGGAAGAGAGGGAAACGAGGGAAGGGAGGGAAGAGAGGGAACCGAGGGAAGGGAGGGAAGAGAGGGAAACGAGGGAAGGGAGGGAAACGAAGGAAACGAGGGAAGGGAGGGAAGAGAGGGAACCGAGGGAAGGGAGGGAAGAGAGGGAAACGAGGGAAGGGAGGGAAACGAAGGAAACGAGGGAAGGGAGGGAAGCGAGGGAAACGAGGGAAGGGAGGGAAGAGACGGAAACGAGGGAAGGGAGGGAAAGAGGGAAACGAGGGAAGGGAGAGAAGAGAGGGAAACGAGGGAGGGGAGGATAGAGAGGGAAACGAATGAAGGGAGGATGGAGAGTGAAACGAGGGAAGGGAGGGAAGAGAGGGAACCGAGGGAAGGGAGGGAAGAGAGGGAAGCGAAGGAAGGGAGGGAAGAGAGGGAAACGAGGGAAGGGAGGGAAGAGAGGGAAGCGAGGGAAGGGAGGGAAGAGAGGGAAACGAGGGAAGGGAGGGAAGAGAGGGAAACAAGGGAAGGGGAGGAAGAGCGGGAAACGAGGGAAGGGAGGGAAGTGAGGGAACCGAGGGGAGGGAAGAGAGGGAACCGAGGGAAGGGAGGGAAGTGAGGGGAGAATGGGGAGCTGTAAGGGGAAATCGGGGGTGGGAATGGGAGAACGGGAGGCACGACGGGGAGAACGGGGAGCTGTAAGGGGAGATCGGGGGTGGGAAGGGGAGAGTGGGAGGCGGAGATGGGAGATCGGGAGGCGGTAACGGGAAATCGGGCCGCGAAACGGGTACATTGGGAGAAGCAAGAAGGCCCCCAGCGTGTGGCGTGGCCAGCGTGAGGAGGCATCATGTTGCGACGAGGCGACGCTTTCCCACGGCTTTGCGGCGAGGCGCTTCCGCTTCGAGGATTTGCGGCGAGGCGACGCCGCGAACAGATTTGCGGCGATGCGACGCGGCGAGCGGATTTGCGGCGAGGCGACGCCGCGGGAGTATTTGCGGCGAGACGACGCCGGGAGCGGATTTGCCGAGAGGTGACGCCGCGACGGGCGTTGAGGCGAGTCTACGAAGCGAGGTGTTACGAGGCGTCGCAAACCCTACGCCATGGTATGGACGGCGTTTGACCTAAGCGATACCTCAAGCTTGATCGTGATGGCACATATTGGCGCGAATAGCTAGTTTTCAGAGCAGTTCACGGGGAGAATGGTGACGGCTGGAGCTCCTTCAGTATACTTTTGGCATGTATAAACTTTCGACGATTGAGTGGACTTGGCTGGTGTCAGGGTTGGGAACTCTTGGGAATCGTCGCTCGTGGGTGAAGTTGAGTGGGCCTGTAAATTGGTATCCACCATGTCCCTTTTATAAACTTTTGGCACTGGCCCTGCCAAATGTATACCGCTGCTTTAAACGGTAGCTTGATAAGGCATGAGTCAAGCAGCACCTTGATAGCAGGCAAACTACAGTATACCGACCATAGTCTTCCTCAACCATCCCACATACGTACACAGCCTGGACTAAAGCCCTTCACGCTATCCCACCTAGGACGACGCGCCTCCCTCCCTAACCTTGGGCTGGCACATGAGCTTGTGCGAGGGCCAGTGAGCCTTCTGACACTCCCTGCTGCAGTAGGCAACCTTGCCACACCGCGAGCATAGCTTCAGCTGCACCCCCGCCCCTTCCTCCTTGCCACACCGCGGGGAGGCACACCCACGCTGCCCTAGCTTGCCACTGCGCCCCTCAGCTGCAGCAAGAGCGTCCAGCTTGGCCTGGGGGCAGTAGCTGGTCTCCCCCAGCAGCATCTCCCTCAAACACGCCAGAGGATTCACACCCCCCGGCCATGGCTCCAGGTACCACGCCCCTGCCCTCCCCTTCCGCCCCTTCCCAGAATTCTTCCTGGCAGCAGCAAGGGCCTCCTCTTCCTCCACCATTGCACGCCTCATGGCCTCACAGCACTCCTCCGACACCTCCCCTGGCACACGCCCCGTTCCTTTCCCTGCTCCCATATGCAGCGGTGCATCGTGCGCCTCCACAGCAGGCCACGCGTTCCCAGCCGCCATCCGCCAGCTGTCCACCTCCTCCCACATCCTCCACTCCTCCTCCCCCTCCTGCGGCTGCTGCTGCTTCTCCCCCTCCACCTGTCCGCCTGCGTCGCTGCTGACGGGTTCCAGAATGGACGGAAAAGCATTCGCCTTACTGATGTGGAGTATGCCCATGTAGATCAGCCCTAGACGCATCTCCTCCATCAGGCCTTCCAGCAGTGGCGCCACCAGCGAGTTCGGGACCACCGCAGGGATAGGCGGCACGCGCAGACTCTCCAGGATAAATCTGAAGGTCGCGGAGCGCGGCGGGAAGAGCGAGAGGAGGCAGCGCAGCAGCGCGGACGAGGGGCGGTAGGCGAAGGACGCAACAAGCGACGTGTGCTTCACAGCCAGGTAGTACTTGCCGATGCAGAGGCGGCAGCGGGTGCAGGCAGGCATGGGCGCATTGGTATTCGCGATCATCTCTATCAACGTGTCCACCTCCATTCTCGACCGTAGGATTGGCTCGATCTTCCCCTCTGCATACGGCCCCAGAGGCAGAGCTGCCCATGTTCGATCCTCCATGCCTGAACAGGCAGCCCAGGAGGTGATAGCGCGGGCCAGAGGGCCGTTCCTGCCCTCCTTTGCCAGCTTCTTCGGAGCGAACCTTCTCAGAAACTCCTCCACGCAGTGGCCCAGCGTGGGGAAGTAGGGACCGCTGGTGTTGTCGTGCAGAGTGCTCCAGACTCCAGGGTTGGGATGAGAGGAGGATATGGAGGCCAGGTGCGACGGGCTCAGCTCCCTCAGTTTGTACTCCTTCTTTATCTCCTCCCAGTCCAATTTACCGCCACGAAATGGCTGTCAAAACTTAGGCTTAGAAGCGATGCATTAGTAATGAGCTTGAAGCTCTTTAAGTACATCCAAGAAGGGTAAGGAATAGTTGGGGAAGGGAATCAGAGGCAATCCCTAGGGATTGGGGGTAATCCCAAGGCAATCTCCAATTGGTGGGTTGGAGATTGCTTGGAGATTACATTTGGGTTTGGTTGGGATGTAGGTGTACACCCAACCAAACACAATGTGCAAACTACACTACTCTAGGATATAGAAAATACAAAGTACAAAGTGTGAGATTGAAGGCTAACACTAACACCCCCCCATAGGCGTCAATCGAACTCAGGGCAGAGAGGGTGGAGCACAGAGCCCCATGGTGCCAAGGAGACGGTGGCGGGGAACTTTCCCAAGGGGCTTGGTGAATAGATCAGCCAGGTTGCAGTCAGATGCAACGTACTCCACTTTC